AACTTCATATTAAAGTCAGCAATATGTGATTCCAGTGCTGGCAACATTAGAGCTGTGGAAATGTTAGGTTAAATTGTCTCCTTGTTTTAAGATTAGACCCAAGAGATTTTTTTTTTCTAATTGAAAGGGAGAGTTAGGAAACACTAGCCAATTAACTCTATTTATAAAACTTCCCAGCATCATTTGTATTAACATTCCCCAATGGTCTGGTTTCAGTAGCTCTGCAGTATGCTATCATTGGCATAAAAAAGGACACAGCTTTACTCACGGAATGAAGTAATCAATATGAATTGATATTAAACCTTTCTCTCTCTAAGGTGATTCCATAATATGAAATCTAGGACTGATGGGAGCCCAGATGAGGATGAAGGAAACATGAAGTTCAAGAAACATTTGGACGTTTATCTTGCTGGGATCCTTTGACCCTGGCTGACTTCCTGCCCCTTGGGCAGGGGACTGGACCTGATAATCTTGTGAGGTCCCTTCCAGCCCTAATGTCTATGAAATCTATGAAGGTCGGAAGGCTTGCTAGGAGAAATGGGAACAGCAGTAGAGAATGAAGGAGGCACAGGTTTTTTTGCTACCTTTTAGTCACCTCTAACTTGCAGGGAATGGAAAATGAGCCAGCAAGATACTACCACTAATGGAGTTGCCATTGTGGAAGAGATCAAACTTCACGTTATGGTTGAATCAGAACTGACAGAGCCAGTTTTCCTTTATTTAGGACTATACTGTGATCACAGGGAGGATTTCATACAGCAAGGGGAATCACCCACTTGTCTGTTTCAAAGGATTTCTCAAACTCTATAAGTTTACAAGCGTATTTATACTTAAGACAGAGAGAGAAAAAAATACGACTTTGGACAGTAAATCACTGATCTAACACACACAAAGACATACAGGCAGTTTACTTAAAGAAGAGTGAAACATTGTGCTTATAGAAATAGTTGTCAGTTTCTGGTTTCTCAGAGAGAAAAACAAACTTAACATCCGCACACGGGGTAATATATCAAGACAAAACAAGGCATGCAGGATTCCTTATCTCAGAACATTTAATGAAATAAGCAGTATCAGCACCTCTGGTCTCTGGCTGTTTTCTTAGTCAAGTTGGGAGCCGGGTTAAATTTATTTCCACACCATCCACAGAGACCCCTGGAGACTTAGAGAGATAAAAGGTCCCAAGGCTTTGCCATAAAACTTGTGGATATAGCAGTGATGCAGCAGAATTTTACCTATTCTGATTAAACATGTCCTGCTAAGTATGCTTACACTTGAATTTTGTTTTGTAGCCATTTCCCTTATTTTTCAGCTATCAGTTCTGCAGAAGCAAGCAGCTACCTCAGACATGAAAAAACACATTCCTCAGCATCACTATTGGAATCTGAATGGAATACATAACACGCTGATGGTCTGCAGTCAGTCCCCATAGGGAAGGAAGATACTTGAATGAGTACAAGAGACAGAAAGTGGCCAAGATACGTAGGTGAATGACTTAGAAGGACATAGGACATATACTTAAACTGACTTCTTGTTGCCCTTAAATCATAAAATTAGAGGCTTATCTAGCAGAAGTACAAAAAGCAGTGGCACAAGAACCTGTGCAGTACAGTCTATGAATATAAAGAATTTCAAGGGCTTCCCTGGCATTCAGAACAGTCCTCCGGTTTGTTCGTTCCAGCTGGAAACCAGCGATAAGCCTTTTAATAGAGATGTATGTTTCTGTGCTGATATACCTGTTACTCCTGCTTGCTTTGGCTTGATTAATGTTCTGATACATGACTAGGATAGTCAAGGGAATCTATTGTGTTGTGAATTAGTAGCCAAACGGGCAGGTTGTCCCCAGACTGCTGGATTTATGTATGGTGCAGATAACGTGCTGTGTCAGGACTCTAGTAGCCTCTATATTACAGACTTCATTATCAAGCAAAAAAGAATCACAGAAAAAGAGTAAAGCTACTATGGACTCTGTTTAGATTACTGGGAGGCTGAAAAGCAAAATCCTTTGGTGAGGTTAAAGGAGGGAGGATATGGAGAACAGTGAGGTTAGAACAGGACCCAAAAAGCTCAGTCCTGCGCTAAATCCTTTATCATTTACTCCAAATGGATTCTGCACCATTGGGTTTCAGTGCATAGTGGTATGTTTAGGTGTTCTGAACTCTAAAGATGTCTCCTAAAAGGAAAATTAAAGAAGATGGAGTGACATGCATCTGACTAAACCCTCAAAATAGATATTCACTCCGTCTAGGGTTGCCAACTCTGACTGAAGCTATTCTGGGAGATCCCCCCCTACCCCATGACTTAATATAATATCCTATTAAAATCTCCTGGATTGCTTTCAATAGTCACCGGGAGATCAATACCAATTCTGGTAGACTCCCGGCCAATCCGGGAGGGTTGGCTACCCTAATTTCATCTGGGGTAGGCATGCTGACCAGTTGCCCAGGTGTTTCTTGTTTCCATGGGTGCTCCAAACAGCTGCGTACTTGGGTTTGGATACAATTTGAAAGCACAGAAATTTCCTTCTTACTTGTATGCTAAAGAGTTTATAGTGGATGAAAACCAATTAATGTAAAATAAAATTGCAAAACCAACCAAGTAACTTAGCTGCAGACGATAAATTATAGATCATGGGACCCCTTAGCACTTCGTAATGCATTGTAAAAGGAATGTAATAACTACCAAAAAGTGGAATTTCTCAGGAAGTGCCTATATGGTGGATTAGCCCAAAGCATGAAAAAGCAGGCTCTGTGCTGTACTCTGCAGCCACTTCAGTGGGAACAACTTAATGTTCTGTCTTGTCAGGATGTAATAAACCCAAAGTACTGTGGACCCGTGATTTATGCAACTGAAAACTCACACCCCATTTTGCACAGGGCTGTTATGGAGAGAAAATACCAAGTTAGGCAATAAGCAAAGTACCTTCCTGACTTTTTAATAGGAAAGGGTCATATTTTGCCAGTAAAATCCATTACATTCAGGTTTGTTCATTTTTCATAGTTTGATACTACAAAATGCAATCTAGGTTCAGCAGTGGGAAAAGGCTATTAGGGATCTACTTACTATTTTCTTATCCTGTGGCTGGCTTTTCACCAGTCCTCATGACAGCAGTGTTTGGATTAGCCTGTAGCCTGCTCTGTAGTCCAATGCTAGTAACATCTCCTAGCTAATTAAGTGGTAGCATTGGAGCTGGTTTTAGCAACTCTTCTCTGTGCTAGGGGATTCTCCACTGTAGAAATGCAACTTATTTTTGTATCGTTTGTGCTGCTGGAACAGCAAAACGTAATTGGAGAAAACCATCTAAATTTGGTCAGTGATCCCAACACTGACTAAACTGGGTTACAAGTACAGGCCCAATTTTCTTCATATTAAAGTGAATGGAAGTTTTGTAATTATCTTCAGTGGAAACAGGAGTAAAAATTATACCAGACTGGAGATCTGTTTTGTAGCTCAGAAACAGATAGGGAAGTCTGAAACAAAATTTTGCATGCGAGTGTCACTGAACATTTAAAAAAAAGTTCACCCCAGAGTTAAACTTTGTGTTGCTGGCTGTTTCTAGTAAGCTTCCACCCTTGGAAAAGCACTAAAATATAGCATGGTGACATTAAGGCTATGTTATATTTCTGCTTTTCTGGTTTTTAAAAAATAAATGGATTTCTATTTCAGTGCAATTGGAATCTTTTCTACTGTGAGAAAAAGTTTACGTGCCATCTGTTATCATTATAAAACATACATAAAATCAAGGTAACGCCTTGATTATATATTAAAAACTAGCTAACTGATTAACAAGTAATTGTTAATCCAGGATATTCATCAAAAGGCAGGACTTTTAGAGTTGTTCTGAGTTATAATCAATGCCATTACTAATGATCTAAAAACGTTGCTTGTAAAGTTTGAAGCTGGCACATGGATTTGTGGTGCAATAAATAATGAGGACAGCTCAGCGTTACAGAAGCAACTGGATGTCTTGCTAAGCTGTGCTTAAGCAACAAATTTAAATCATAAATTTAAAAGCAAAGACTGTAGGTTTCACTTGGAGGAAGGGGACAGAATTCCTGAATGCAGGAATTCTGAAACCAAAGTTAGAGGTCGTCACTGACAGATGTTATCAGCTGAAGGTGTGGCAGGGTGGTAGGCAAAGCATCTGGAGACAGGGCCAACTATGAAGTCCCACATTCTTAGTTACAAAAGATCATGGCTGGTCTGTGCGACATTTCCCCATACATCACTTAAAATGCCATCTAACTTTATAATGTGTTCCTTTTTACATGCTTGGTGCTGGGAGGAAAGTGACTTCTAATTCTGCAGAGCAAGGACGTTGCAGACAGGTCCTCTATATTTAAGTTCTTCGTGCTGCCCTAACCCGTGGAATTAAGGTAAGGAGGAGCTGTAATTTATCATTGTACAGTCCACTAGCACTGAATTTTCCTCAGACACGTGCACTTATTTTTGGCTGATGGACCTGGACGACTGTGTCTTCTGACTGTTCCAGTGATTATAATATACTCCTGTGATGTATTTAATTATTTATATAGTACCAGGCCATTATACTTATTTTATTAATTTATGCATTGTGTCAGAAACACTACTGTATCCAAGGCTTGAGCTGCTATGAACTAGGGGTATATGAAATGGGCCGTATTCGATTTGGATTTGGCCTAAATTGGGGACAGTGATTCGATTAGTTGATTTGTATCACTGTCCCCAATTCAATTCATCCACATCTGAATCTGAAGATTCAATGCTGATTCAGGTCCACTTCTGAGTCTGCCGCCAAACACGCTGGGGACTCCCCTGCGTTCCTGTGGGATGCTCCATGCGTCCCAGCATTGCAATACTCATGAGCCATGCTGGTACCTCGAGGTATGTAGAAAAAAAATTTTAAACTGTGTCTATGTCCAAATTGGCAAATCTTTCCGAATCTCTCCAGATCGATTTGGAGGGTTCTGATTCAATTCAGAGAGATTAAAGGGTCTCCTGATTCAATCTGGAGTCAGAGATTAGGCTGCTGAATCGGGCCCAATCTCCGCCGAATTGAATCAGGGACCGAAGCTTCGCGCAGCCCTACTATGAACTTCTAGTGATTGGAGAGAGATATATCAGAGATGTTATCATTACAGTTTAACAAATAGACAAAATAAACCTGTGGATTTTTGTGCAAGAGCGGGGAGAGTCGGACTTTACTGTCCTCCCTGCCATTGGGAACATCAGTGCAGCTGTTCTGTTGTCACTGGTGCAGCACAGGGGCTACTATCACAGCCACACTCACCTTTCTGTGTGCAGGGGAAGTCACACATACCTGTCTAGACCTATCCTTCAACCACTATGCCCCTCTCCACTAGTGAGAACAGATCTGGACCATATCTGAAGATTTTCCTGCAAAACTTTCCTGAAATGCTGACAGGGGGAGAGAGTGTGTCTGGCGGCCATGTACCTATGTTTGGTCCTGGTGGCATCATCTACTCCAGGCAGCCAGCAAATACACCTTGAGGTTTATCAGGCAACCCTGATCAGCCATCATCATCCTGCTTCAGCCATCTCCATTAAATGCACTAAAGCCTTTCATGCTGGGGCAGTTCTTGCTCCGACAGGTTATGGCGGTGTGCTGGTTTTTGCAGTCTGGAATCTAAAAGAGGAGGAAGATTCTATAAAAGACCAGACTGTTTTCATGTTGCTGGTGCTACACAGAGACTCATGCAGGACTCCAGAACTCACATAGGAGAACTGGGTTAGTTTGCATTTGCCAGAAAGGCAATGGCAATATTAAAAGCTCCAGTTTCCCCAGGATCTCAAGAAGAGGAAGTGGAAATCGTGACAACGTGGCCTGTGCATTTTGTTGCACAGGGTGATGCACTGACATGGTGCTGGCCCTTTAAGAGATTAGTTTTCATACCTGTGAGCTGGATTTGGGCTGTCCACCCACTATGTGACACTGGATTGTGTTTCTGATCAGTAGAAAGGACCAAGGGTACCACCGTACTGTATCTTGTGTACTGCCACTTTAAGATTATGCATGTGTTGCCAGGTTTCAGGTCTTTCCCACTGTTAGGAGCATCAGACGCAGGCAAGTGGTGGTCTGTTCCAGCAGGACTAGGGAGTTTCTCTGTGCTCTCTCTTCCTGGTTTATAACATATTTACTGCTTAAGATACTTTTCCTGTGAGCCTAAGGCTTCCTTCCCGCATTTCTAAATTCCACCTGCTGCAAACCAAGGCAAGCGCAGCTACAGATATCACCACTGTGCTGACAATGAGTGGATCTGCTACCATGAAAACTACAAAGTCCTGCAAGAGGTACAAAAGTGTGAAGCGGCACTCCAGCATCTACACGTACCAGGAGCCACCCCACAGGTGAGAGAGCGTCTTCTGTTCGGCTTAAAATACAAACGAGAAAACAATTGCTCTTGATCTTGCAGAAACGTAGCATCTTGACTCAAGTCTTTCTGCTCAAATGTCTCCAAATAATAAGCAGGAATATGAAATACAGGAAAGTTTCTGTGTATTTTTCTTTTAAATTTGTTTTTAACTCATGTTCCATACAGGGTCAAATACATTTCCATTGTAGTTCCAGTGAGATGATCTCAGGTTACAAAGGTGTCCTGCTGTTGAGCAGAGCTGCAGAGAAGTTTTAGTGGGTGTCATTCCTGACAATCATAAAGGGGATGCAGCGAGGAAACTGGCCAACTTGATCATTAGTTATTGGCTTTGTTTTGTGTAAGTTTGTAGTTCTGTTTCTGCTGCTCTTAAAAGAAATCTTCAGTGCTGCAGGTTTCGGGCTCGCTCCCCTGCATGTGCAAACACTGCTGTACGCTCCCATTACACTATGCAGGATGTTTCAAACAAGGAGTGCAGAGCTCCTTAGCACAACAAATGTACTAGCAATGCCAGAGGAAGATGATTTGATAATCAGCTGCAGAAACCAGCGTCTGGACATGTGAACCATTTTCAGTGATGTGCTACTCTCGGTGACCGAGGATCCCATAATTATTTCCTCCGTAGCCTGGAAAAAGATTGAAGGGCTAAAGTATTCCAGTGCTTTTGTTTCCCTATTTGAACAAGGCAACATTTTATCATGATCACCAGTAAAGTAGAAAGCACTGCCACATGGCTAATACATTAGCAGTAAATGTTCTTGTTGAAAAATATACGGTTTGTTGAAAGCACAGCACAATGTTCCTTGATGTGCGATGTGGGGAGCTAAAGAACTGGCATTCCTACTGCAGGTACGGACATGTTTCCAAAAACCTGACACTCGGTGCAAGCTGATATATTCCAAGACAAAAAAATAAAATGCTTTTCGGAAGTATTTTTATGAGCTGGAGGGAAAAAAATCCACCTCTTGTCTGGCTAATCCAGGAGAAGCTCAGCAGGGAGGAAGCCTCAGTACAAAGTAAAGATGATCATGGCAATCCTTTCTCCAGTTTGGTGGTGGAATTGTAGCCTGGGCCTCCCATGAGCCTTTGTAGCACACCCCTGCTGTTCGTATGCGTCTCGATTCTCTATCATAGATCTGAATGGGAATAATTTATCTTGTCTTTGTTTCCCCCTGGGGTGCTGGCATGCTCAGTAACTCAGACGATGATAATGGTGATGAAAAGGTTGACAGCAATGACCCAGAGCAGATCTTCCAGAATATCCAGTTCCAGAAGGAGACAGTGGCAAACATCCGTTGTAGACCATGGCCAATGAGACAGAAACTACGGGCACTCAGGTAATAGAGTTTTCATTAAAAGTTTTGATCCCTGTGGTCATCACTGTCATTTCAGCCCCAGTAAGTTTTTAATCTAAATTAGATATGAGTATAAGAAGTATTTAACTGCTTGGGAATCATTCATAGTAGACCATGGAGCGGGATGGAGGTAGGAATTAGAGGATGAGGACTTCGCAAATTAGAGTGTCTGGAATTTTATTACAGCTCTTTTGTGTGTGTGTTCATTGTATGAAACAGGATGAAACTGATCCTCCAGTTACAGGAGACTGATGAAAATATTTTCATGTTGCATAAAACATTTATTTTAAGTCCCTTCATTTTTCCCACTTTTCAGTTTCAAAAATCACTTCCTACCAGTGCACCATATTAAGAGCCTGTTGTAAAATCCATTGAAGTCCATGGGAATCTTTCTATTGACTTAAGTGGACCATGGACCATGAATCAGCCCCTCGTAGCTTTTCCCTTACCTAGCAGACAGCTGTACTGGGCTTCCTTGCCCAGAGTGCTTTGGGTATTACACAACTCTTCATTCTTCATTAGCTTATCTTGGCTTCCAAATTTGGTATTTCTGAAACAGTTTTTTTCTAAGCCATCTGGCACATTCAATCTTTAAACAATTCTTCTTTTCAGATTTTTGGGAAGGATTCTTGTGGTATCATAGTACGTACAGTGTGTTCTGTCAAAGAAACTCAGCATTCTTAACTCATGGTCTAGGGAATAAAACTAATGTAACCCAGAAGGCTATATTTGAAAGTAATGATGTTTCAGGGGCTGCCAAGACAGATTTTGACCCTTAGATTTTAAATTATATATAAATAGAAATGAATAGAAGCGTTTTGGTTTTTTTTATGGATGAAAGGGGTACATGTAGACTGGCAAAAGCATGAAATATTGGATTATCCTGACAACATCATTTAAAACCGTGAGTAATATATTAATGTTCCCAAAGTTGAAATGTGATATAATAGTTCTTTTTTTTTCTTAATATCTGGCATTTAAATGACTAGGAAGTTCTGCTGCTTCTCAGGGAGACCTTGCCTTGTTGTGGGAGGAAAAGGGAGACATCTTATGTCCATGAAGTGAAATTCTGTAGCTTGCAGCTAAACCTGAGTTGTTTTCTTGGCTGCATCACTGCACTGCTTCTGTCCTAGTGCTATACATCTCCTGTTGAAGTCAGTAAGACTCCCATCAAGTATGTGCAATTGGACCTTGTCCAATTATTAATCAATGGCTGTTTTAATGAACCTATGTTTGGGACTGAACTTTCAGAACAAGAGTCAGTATCCAGATAAATGTAATGGTTTTTACGTTATGAGAATATTTAAGTGACATTATTATTGAAAAAAGTTGGAAATTAGTTAAAATGGCACAGGAAAAAAAAATCTGGATTTCTAATTACAACGATCATCTTTAATTCCTGTTGGCCACTCCTGGCATCTGATCACTTAGTTCTTTCTCAAGCAAAATTCCCATTGATTTTAATGCAATAGCACAACTCTCATTTGCAGAAAATGGAACTTTGCCTGAGTAAGGGTTTCAGGCACAGGCAGAAAATTTGTAACAATATTTCACATTGCTTTACTTAGGGTGTGTGTAGATGAAATGAGGGCCCTAAATTGAAGCAGTGAGTTTTTAAAAACACCACTTCAATTTAGGGCCCTTTCAACCCCAGTGTCATGCACACACCTACTTAGCTGCCTCTCTGGCGGTGGGGAGGGGAGGACGAGCTGCTGGCGGGCAAAGCAGTCCCTGGGCTGTGGTGGGGGTGCTGGCGCTTCCCTGCACGGCAGCAGCGGCCCCTCCCCATCAGTGGCACCACTCGGGCTGCTGCCAGGCTGCCTGCAGGGCTTCCTGCAGAGCCCCTGAGCTGCATGGAGCCCGGTGCTTCGCTCCACGGCTGTAGGGCAGCAAACTAAAACTCCTTGGAGGAGTTTTAGTTTGCTGCGCCTCAAGTCATTTAAGGTGCATTACACCGCTGAATTTGCTACAGCAGCTGGAATTACTGTGCAATACACCACCAACGCATGCAAACACCAACACCAGTAAAGCGGTGCGAAAGCATTTAACCCACTTTAAAGTGTTGTGCACACATGCCCCTCGTTTCGTCTACACATGGCCTTAGTTAGCTGTCGTCTGTGTGGAGTCACTGGAGTCCAGAATGTATTATGTGGAATGGGTAGGTGAAATGAAGGCTCTGTCTTCCTTTTCAGGCAAGCAAAAGAGATTGTGCTGAGGTATGAAGGGAGGCTCACCAGAACAAGAGGCTACCAAGCAGCTGGTGCTGAGGTATTTCTCCTTTTCATTAAAATGACAGCTCTTTTGTATAACAGTTATTTGACATTTTCCTTCACAGAAGTAGACATTTCCTATGCAACACTAATCCCCAGTCCAAGAATGATGGAGAGAAAAAATTGCTAGAAGCTTCCTTTTCCTATTAAGAATTTAGTAATTACTTTTTTGCGGAGTAATTTGATGCATGAGGGATGGATCTTATTCCAGTAATGTGAATATATTTTCCTTCTCTAACACATACTAGCAAGCATGTAGGGCTTCTACAGTCTACGTACGTATGGTTGGCACAGGTTGAAGGAAATGAGAGTTTTGCCACTGGCCTCAGTAGAGAAGGATTTTCGCAGTCTAAAGGACTTGAGCATTCTTAGACATGAAACATCTGCTAAATTACATAGTCTGGACTCAGAGGCAAGAATTCTTGAGGGTGGTGTCTTTTATTGGACCCAACTACATGGTTGAGTCAAGCACTGGACAAGCTTGGACAAGCTTTTGGGTATCACGGGTACCCTTCCTCAGGTCTCTGGGATGGAAACAGACACAGAAGTGCTAAGTAGCAGATGGAACAGAAGCTTGTGTAAAATTCTGTATGTAAATAAAATCAGGATATAAGAAAAGTTATCAGGTAGCCAACAGGTAGGAGAGAAGTAGGAAAAATCTAATAATGGAAGAGCAAAATCATTCAGGAGGGTCGTTATCATCTGTGAAGGTTAGTGAGTATCAAGTAGTAGGCCATGAAATCATTGTCTATATTAAGTCCCTGATACTTACTGTCCAGCAGGGCTGTGCGAGGCTTCAGTCCCTGATTCAGTTTGGCAGAGATTTAGCCCGATTTGGTGGCCAAACCTCTAAATCTGAATCGAATCAGGAGACCCTTTAATCTTTCCGAATCGATTCAGGAAGATTTGGTGATTCAGATATAGACACAGCTTTAAATGTTTTTTCTACATACTTCTAGGTACCAGGCAGCTCGTGAATGCTGAGATGCTGGGGCAGATGGAGTGTCCCACAGGGGCGCAGGGGCTTCCCAGTGCACTTGGCAGCAGACCTGGAAGTGGACCACAAGCACTTCCGATTCACTTCTGGGTCTGCCGGGGCACACACTGGGGGGGCCCCATGCCCTCCCAGCTTGGCAGCTGGTACCCCTGGGTTTGGGGGGGACACATGGGGTCCCCCTGCAACCGATAGCTGAGCCTGGGGGTGCACGGCAGGGTGGGCAGTGCGCTCAGCGGTGGACCAGGAAGTGGGCCGGAAGTAGTTCCGGTCCACTTCTGGGTTTGCCGTCAAGCACGTAGGCCCTGCCGCCCCCCACCCCACACTCCTGTGGGATGCTTCATCCGCCCCAGCATTGCAGCAGTCACAAGCCATGCCTGGTACCTCGCGGTATGTAGAAAAAAATATTTAAACTGTGTCTATGGCTGAATCGCTGATTCTCCGAATCAGCATCGAATGGATTTGGATTCGGCCTAATTGAATTGGGGACAGTGATCCGAATCAATAAAGCAAATCACTGTCCCCAGTTCAGGCCATATCCAAATCCAAATTGAATGTCTCATTTTGCACACCCCTACTGTCCAACAGTCTAATGAAATGTTGTTCCCAAGCTCTCCTTGGGAACAACATACAAGGAGACTTGGTTACTTGTTTGTAACTTAAGTATTTGGTAAATTTCTTTTTGAGCATGACACTGTGAGGTTAGGTAATTTGGCCTCCTCACTAACTGGTGTTCACTACTCTATATATACTTAAAACTGGTAAAACCAGGTTAGACAGATTTTTTCCAAGCAGAATATGGAATGGGGGGACATTGGCAAATCAAAAGACAAAGTAGAAGCAGTGTATCATCAGAAAAGAGCATTCATTGAAAGCAAGATGCTTAATTAGCAATATCCAAGATCTGCCAGCCAATTGGAAAAAGAATTATCAACTGCTGGCAAACAGGACATATTATTCTCTTTTGATAATTAAACAAATCCAATTTAAGAAATAGTCTATCATGAATAAAATGAAAATCTCCATGTATGCTTGCCATTTAATTATGTGGTATAGCCAGGCTCTTGCCTACAAATATGTAAATCATTTGTTTTTATTCAGGTAATCAGTATGCAGGGATAGAAATGATAACATTTTTATCACTGCTACTCCAGGATTTTCACGCTGACATCCATGTATAATTTATGCATCTACAGTGCTACCTGTAGAAGTCGCTTGATCCCTTTCTCAGCCTGGTGAACTTTGCTTTCAAATTAAAGTAGCAGCTGTGGGTGCAGCTCATAGCATCTGTTAATTCTTTGCTTAATTAAAATTCTTCCAATTTGTGCAATAAAAACCTTGATAGGGCTATAAAAAATTATTAACATTGACCATGGAGATTGATGATGCATTTATTAAAATAGGAGCTTGCTTCCAATTTGGTAATTAGACTGTGTGCAATTTAATGCTCAGATTGCCATTCAGTAACATACAGTTTTTCCTCAAATAACTAGATCTACCGTAACTTTTATTTAATAATTAGTACAGTACACATATGCTATTATCACCCTGATACTAAACTAAATATGCAGAGAAATAGTAAATATAGCAGTCATCTTTTGTTACACAGAAGCAGGCATCATGAGGAAATATCTATGAAATTATCCTGAATTACTTGATATTGTGCTTGAACAGGAGAAAATTTACAATAATATGTAAAAGTACAGATGTTGCTATTCATTTCTGCTTTAAATGAGAAAAGACGTATATTATAATCTTTTGTAAGTAGCAGTTACTTGTATGCACTAATAGAATAATAGATGAGAGTTATATTTTTATTTCAAGGACTTTCAAAATTTGGCATGCATACATGTGCCTCTGTGGTTTAGTGGTTATAATGTGCTTAGGAGTCACAAGTCCCATGTTCTGTTCCTATTTTTTCTGATTTACAAGATGTTTTTCAACCTTACTGTGACTTAATTTTGTGTGTCTTACGTACCTCACAGGAATTCAGTGAAATGTCATTAGTTATTGTTTATAACATGCCTTATGGCACAGGGTGAAGGATGCTATGTATAAGCAAAGTATTCTGACACATTAATGGTAGTTATTGTTTTATACAAATCTGCTATTTCTTTACTGTCGTCTTTAGCTCTGGAAGAAGTTTGTTCGGCTTGCATATAATTTTCTGGTGATTTTTGTTCCTTGGGAAATGAGAATAAAGAAAATAGAAAGTAAGTATGGAGACTCAGTGGCACTGAACTGTGCACTGCCTGCTAAAATGCTAGGTGTTTCTGCCAAACTGGATGTCTTGAACTGATGAACTACAAAGTAGTCTTGTTAAAAAATCACCAGTGTTCATTAGAGTTGTTGCCATGTTTACTTAGACAAAATAGTTTTCAGTATTAATCTTAGTGATACTACAGTGTAGTAAGTTTTATAATTTAAATGGGGCCAACTGTGTTGCTATAAAAATTGCATTGCAATGTCTGTTACAAAATAGATGTCTCATCAAAATTTTCAGTGCACAGGACATACAGTATGGAAGCAGGCTCAAAACCATCAGTTCAAGCCATTGAACTTCTGATGTGATTTAGAATAGCCTTTAATATGCTCTAAATTCTGTTGGCCAATCAGGTCATACATCCATTTATCACTGGCCCATCCACAATGTGTCTTCTATGCTGGGGCTGGGAGCAGATGGCTGAGACCCAGCTGTGTAAGGGAAATTCTCCTACCTCAAAGAATCCCCATCAGCTCTTTTGGAACCAAGAGTTAAATTTTGCTTCATTGTGAAAGCTATTGAAAGCTAAGATCTAATCGTGCCACTAAGAGCAGGTATTTTGATTTTTATAATTTCTGTTAAGGATAGTCAAAAATCTTGATATTTAAACAAAATCTGGAAATATTTTTATGATGAACCTTGTGTACAGGGCTGATTTCATAACATTTCCAGACTGGTGGAAGCTGCAGTGGGGAGAGGTGCAAGGGTTAGAAAATTCTGGATGGGCCCTGTGCCTCTTCCCTCTCAGCACCTGCACTCTGTCACCGTGGGTAGACACAGTAGATAGCACGCATTATCTTTGGAGCAGGATTAGCAGTGCTAATGTGTCCTGGTACCGCTGATCTGCTTCACTGGTATTTATATATGTTGCTGGGGACTGCTATCTCACAGGGTTGGGTCCCTGTTGGTCCTGGGACTTCAGGGGCATGATCCCATGGGACAATAGCCCCAGGTGTTGTGTCCTGACCCAGGGCACTCATTTGCAAGTGAGGAAACCCATAGGGGTCCCATGTGAATATCAGACTGCTGCACCCCAGATTGGGGTGTGTGTAAGCAGGGAAATCCCTGCTTCATATTGCCATGTCCTGAAACCGTAGGGTTCCTCTGCTTGCAGTTGCACACCCAGCTCGTGACACAGCAGTGAGATACACAGGAGTATACGTGGCAGTGAGATACACAGTAGGGCTGTATGAAGCTTCGGGTGCTGATCCAATTCAGAGGAGATTCAGCCCGATTCAGCGGCCAAATCTCTGAATCCAAATCGAATCAGGAAACCAATAAAAAGGTCTGAATTGATTCAAAGCTCTCTGATTTGATTCAGAAAAGATTTGGAGAGCTTCAGAGATTCGGGCAGTTTCCACTCACTGCTGCAGGGAGCTGGACCCAGACTCCATGCTGATAAGTAGGGGGTAGGGGAGGGAGGACTGGAGGAGTGGGGAAGGGACCATGGGGGGACCCCCATCAGGCCCCACACCCTTCCTGCTCCCCCAGCCCCCTTGAGTGCCCCCCATCCCCTGCCCGCTCACCCAGCCCCACCCCATGGCTGCCCTGCCCAGCCCCAGCTCCTGGCTCTTTAAAAAAGAAAAGAAAAAAAATCCCCCACTCACTGTCTGCTGCCAGGTGGTGGGGAGGCAATCCCCTGCTGCCTCCCACTGCCCCATGCTGCATGGCAGGCTCTGCCATGAGCACCCTGACCCCCGCCTGCTCTCCCAAACCCCCCACGGCTGCCCCATTTGGCCTCAGCTCCCAGTTCTTTAAAAAAAAAAATAAAAATGCTGCCCCTCACTGGCTGCTGCCTTGGGGCTTCTGGGAGTTTCATGGCAGCGTCCCTGTGCAGCACGAGGCAGTGGGGATCACACAGCCCCCACCTGGCAGAAGCTGGTGAGTTCGGGGCTTTTTTTTTTTTAAGGAGCCAGGAGCTGGGGCTGGGTGGGGCAGCCATGGAGGGGGGCTGGGAGAGTGGGCAGGGGTCAAGGGGCTTGTGGAAGAGCCCCCCGCCCAGGGCAGGGCAGGGCAGCAGGGGCAGTGGGGGGCAATGGGAATCGTGTGTGTGTGTCCCCCCCCACCGGCCTGGCAGGAGCCGGTGACTCAGGGACTTTTTTTTTAAGAAGCCGGGAGTTGGGTCTGGGCAGGGCAGCCATTGATGGGGCTAGGAGAGCGGGCAGGGGATGTGACCTGTCCGATTCAGAGATTCAGCCTATTTGGCAGTGGCCGAATTGATTTGGGACAGTGATTTGAATTGCTGAATCAAATCACTGTCCCCCAAATTGGCCAAATCCGAATCTGAACCGAATACTAGCCATTTTGCACAGGCCTAATACACAGCTATATACATTTCCTGCAGAGTATATCCATGATGCCTGTCTGAAAGAGGACGAACCTACACTGATTTGAGGTACAACAGCATGAAGTGGCAGCCCCCCCACCCTCCCCCGTTTGCAGATGCACTGCCCTGATATGGGTTCCATGAGAA